TCTCTCCCCTTCCATGGAGGATGTTCTCTCCCCTTCCATGGAGGATGCTCTCTCCCTGTCCATGGACCAAAGCTCAAATGATTTCTGGAGCTGGCTCCCTCTTGCCCTCTCCTCTGCAATGTCCCCCTTTGACTGGGGATGAGCCACCTGGCCAGGAGAGCAGCACTTCACTCGCCCCAGGGAGGAGAAGGAAGAAGGCAACAAGGAAGAGGGAATCATATAAGAGCCTGTAAAAACTTCCCTTGCCACCACCGACGTGGGCTGCGGGAACAGCACCAGGAACAATAGCAGCACCCAGGTGAACCTCAGTGGGAAGACAGAGAGGAGGTTTTCCCTAAGCTTTCCCCAAGAAGATGAACTTCCAGTTAACACAGGCACTAAATTATTCTGAATTACAGGGCCATGGGTGAGGGGGAAAAAATACCTTGTTTATTAATTTCAAGCAATCGTATGAGCAGGATAAATCTTTCGTGTCAACGCAGCACTACAGCCCTGCCCTGGATGAGGTGCCAAGGGACAGTTTCTTCTGCCCTTCTCTTTTTTTTAAAGATCCTGATGAGCACGTGAGCAAAACGAGCGGGTCCAGCACGGGTCAAAAGTCAGCTCATTTCTACATCTCTTACAAGAGGGTTTTCATAAAGTCACAAAGCTATAATTGCTCCTTTCCAAAATTAGTTCAGGTGCCGTCACCCGCATTAGCTCTTTATTATTATTAAGACCTTCTTTTTTTTTTTCCTCTCCTTGGAATCACCGTTCTGAGATTATTTTTTCTTAATCCACCATGAGATCTTTGTGTTCTTCTAAGCAACACCAAGACACCTTTGCAGATATTTTGCTGTATTTTGAAGGGAGCATCTAAGGCAACCACTCTCACTATTAAAAATGAGTGGGAAGCACCCAGTTCACCTCTTTGATCCAAAATTCCCTTCTACAGTAGAGCAGGTAAAAAAAAAATCTCAGTTTCCACAAGGAAGAGGTTGACACATAATCCAGTAAAGAGGGGTAAGAACCAGCATGGATTTGCAGAGAAGATAAATTAAGCAAAATCAAGTTTCCCAAATAGTCTCACACGGTTCCATACACAAGTTATATATATCTATATATTTTGTGAATCCCCAGTCTTGGAATCTTGAGTCTATGCAAAGAAATGTTCATAGACAAAGGGTTAAAAGAAGAAAGAAAGTGTTTGGATAGAGATACTAGGGAAGAAAAACAAAGAAAACTGCAAGAAACCATTTTCCAAATCACCATATCCTTCTTTCTAATCCTGATATCAAGTTATAGCTGTCAGGGAAGAAAATTAAATGTATAACAGATAGGGAAGAGTGGGGGAGGGAAGGAAAAAAAAAGGAAAAAAATCCAGTACTCGTATTTGCAAAACAACCATTAATAAACATTGCTCTGTTGCTGCTTTATTAAACAGATAATCCAACACAGTAATCTGTATTGATTTATGGATTCTCTGATGCTCTACGACTGGTTATGCAATGAAAGTTCATCCTTGATCTGTAGTCTGGGTCCTGGACTTAACTAATTCATAATCTGATTGGAAGTTTTACTTTGTTAATTCAATTACAGTTAACGGCCGAGGAGAGAGCGGCAACATCCTTGTCTTTCTCAACACAGACGGTTTCTCCCCATGCCCAGAATTACTAAACTCTTAAAATCACAAGAGGAAAATGAGTTCTTAAAAAAAAATAAAATAAAAAAATCCTACCTCGGGTTTTAATTCCAGACTCTGAAAGTTGTCTTTTTCCCCATTTTTTTCTGCCTCTCATTTCCTTTCTCTTCCTTTTTTTTTTTTTCCTCTTTTCATTTTTTCTTTTCCTCCTCTTCCTTTTGATGAATTTCCTTTCTTCTCCACATCCTCCTCAGGCGTGTAATGGGGTTATTTTTACTTTCGGTTATCTAGCTTTATGAAGAATCGACACCACTCATACAGCTAGATAACCAAAGATAACAACCAACCCCTGGAGTCTACAGCATCAGCAGGAAAAAGCCAACCTCCTCTTCTCCAGGGGTTCGGGGGCACGTGGCTTTTAAGGAATGAACGAGGGAGGAAAACGAATAAAAAGAGATGCAAATATTAGCAGCCAGATCCATAATATGTGCACACAGCTACAGCCCTGGCACTGTTCCCTCAGCCCAGCCAGCCCAGGGCACAGAGTCCTGAGCATCACTGGGACAGGCAGGATCAGGCCCCTCGGAAACACAATTTGGAGCAGAATTACAGGATCACTACGCAGGAGCTGCCTATTTTCTGCCGAGTTTCAATTTGTTTCATTTGCAAACCAAATGATATTCTGCAGGTGCCGAGAATTAAGCCCACATTATTTTTAATAACTATCAAATTAATGCATTCAAACTGGTAATAATCAAAGCAAATATAATTTGCGCCCGCAACTTAAAATATGCATAGAAGACCAAAAGGACATTTCCCCACCCAGAAATGCGTTTAACGCTCTCTAAACAAAATGACTGCGAGAAAAACCTGCCGGTTAATATAAATAATAACTTGTGATGCTTTGGATTCAGCCAAGATCTGGGGGAACAGAAGCGATGAATAAACACAGAAAACACAGAGGAAATGATGAAAGGAGGAAAGAAGGAAGGGAGAGACTCGTGCTCGCGGCTCAGGACCCCGGCTCTGCACGGGGACCTGGACCCGCATCCCTCCGTTCGTTCGGGGGGAACCGGAGCTTTCCCCTGGTGTGGACCCGCATCCCTCGCCTTCCTCTCCCCGTATCCCTCCGTCCTTTCTTCTTTCGCGGAGAACACGCATCCCTCCATCCTTCCTTCGTGGGCTCTGCATCCCTCCATCCCTCCTTTCTCCGGGGGTGGGGGAGAACCCTCCTCCTTCTCCGGAGTGACCCGCGTCCCTCCACCCTTCCTTCCTCCGGGAAGGAACGCGCATCCCCGCACCGCTCCTCCTCTCCAGGGCATCCCGCATCCCTCCGTTCTCCAGGGGAGGAACCCTCATCCCTCCCCTTCCCCGCGGCACCCCGCAGTCCCGGCCGCCCGCCTCCGCCCGCATCCCTCCCCTCGCCGAGCGACCTGCTCCGCTCCCGTCCCTCCTTCACCTGCAGCCTCCGCGCGCTGCGGGGAAGACGCGGAGCCCTCGCTCCGCCGAGATGCCGCGGCTCCTCCGCCCCCGCCTCCTCCCGCGAAGCGGAGCGCCGGCAGCGCGGGGCCGGGGCCCTGCCGGCAGCTCGGGGGCCCTGCCGGCGGCTCGGCTGGGCTCGGCAGGGCTCGGCAGGGCTCAGCGAGGCTCGGCTGGGCTCAGCGAGGCTGGGCTCGGCTCGTACCTGCTGCCCGCCCCGCTGCCCGCAGCCTCTGCGCCGGGGGGAGCGGCGCGCGGCACTTTTCATTCATGCTTTCCCACTCCCGGCCCTCTCCGGGCGAGCCCATTGGCTCGGCCCCTCCTGACGTCACCCGCCCCGACTCCCACCCCTCTGCAGCGCCCATCGGTTCATCAATGGGTTTGGGAGGGGCCGCGAGCCGCGCGCACACGCGCGTCGCCGCCGCCCGTCACCCCCCCCCCCTCCTCTGTCACCCTAGTCCCTCTCACCCCCGTCTCTGGCACCCCCATCACCCTTCCCCATCATCGCCCCCCACCATCGCCGCCGTCCATCACCATCACCGTCTCCACCATCGCCATCACCCACCTCGGAACCACCATCGCCATCGCCATCACCGGCACCATCACCCGCCTTCACCATCACCCTCATCACCATCACCCTCATCATCATCGCGTGTACCGCCCTCAGCACCATTATCACCACCATTACCCTCACCACCGTCTCATTTACCACCCTCAGCACCATCGTCTTCATCACCATCCCGTTCACCACCCTCAGCACCATCATCACCACCGTCATCCTCATGTCCATCCCGTGGCACCTTCACCACCACCATCCTCATCACCATCACCCTCATCACCACCGCTGGCCACCACCCATTGCCACCACCCACCCCCAACACTGTATCCCCACCACCAGCCATGACCATCATCCCACCACCCACCTCTGCAGCTCTCCTCCTCTCTGCCCCCCAGGCTCAGCCCCCCGGGCTCTCCTTTCTCGGGGAGGGGAACCCCTGCTCATCTGCGCTGCTGCCGCTGTCCGAGTGGTGCCGGTGCCACCGAGGCCCGGCCGGGCTGTGCAGCTCCCAGACGGAATCAAATGCTATTTTATTTTTGTAGTTTTAACCCCACAGGCCACTAACCACCCTTTGATTTTCCTGCTATAATACAGATCCCACCAAAAATAAAGCCATGATTTTTCCGTGAACAAAAATGGAGCTTGGGGGTTGGTGGTTTTATTTTCCCCCCGCATTTTCTCTTAAAATTCCTCTTCACCTTGGAATTTTTTTTGCTAGCATAAAGCCAGCTGGGTTTGGGTCTGTGAGTTTAGAGTGGGAAGTTACTCACGGCTTTTGTTTCCTTCCTGGAGCCAGATTCTCCCACTGTCACCATCAGTGCAGCTGGTGGTGTGCCCACCCTGTCAGGGTCCTCTCTCCCAGTTGCCCCCACTGGGAAAATGGGAGCCCACTGGTCTGGCTCCCATCAGGCCCAGCACTTACAGCTCTGCCTAGGAGTGGGGAAAGGGGCCCAGGGGATGTGGAAACAACCCCAGGGAGGGTCCTGTGAGGCATCGAGGCAGCAGAGAACCTTCTCAGCCCTGGGGGTTCCCAAACTTGCCCGGGGGGGTGGTCCCAAGAGCTCAGCGTTATGGACAGCCCAAACCATTCTGGCCCCATTTCCCGGGGCTGGGGCTCTGCCCCCCAGGACTGTCGCTGCTCCGCCGACAGCCCCTCCCGTGGCTCCAGCCTGGCTTCTCTGTGGGCCCCCGTCTGCACAGGAGGGTTTGGGGTGTGGGGTGTAGCGCCTTTCCCCTTTCCCTTCGTCTGCTTCCAGACTTGGTTGGGGAGGAAAATGTAGATTTCGGGAAGACTCTGTGGGTGCTCACAGGGGATGGAGGGTGGGGTTGGATGCAGCACCTTTTGGAGGCATCAGGGGATCCCCCCACCTGCGACCCCCAACCGAATCGCAGCCCCCAATTTCTTTTAGGCAAAGGGCCCTTCCCACGCCCTCCCGGAGCTGCTCGGGCCCCGGGGCTGGCGGTCCTCGGGATTTCTCCCTCCTTGTTTCCCCGTCACCCACCTGAGCCGCGCTCCCCACGCGAGCGGCTTCTCCCCCGTGGGCAGAGCGGGGCTGGGGCCGGCCGGGGGGGAAGCAGCCACTGGACCCGGAGCCAGGGCTCTCCTGGAAGAGAAGACACAGAAAGGGTCGGTTAAAGAGCCGGCAGCGCTGGGGGTGTCCCCGCAGCCCCCACACGTGGGTGTCGGCGGAGCAGCTCTGCGGGGTCCCGACGGGGCCGGCTTTAACCATTCCCCACCCTCGCTGAGATGGGATTTTAGAGACGCAACCACACGCCTTCCCTCTTTTTATTCTCCTTTTTATTAAATCCACATTAAAAAAAAAAAATCCAAATTTCTATTTCAGGCTCCTCCAGAAATTATAATTATTTTTTTAACCCGCCAAAAGAAAAAACACGACGAATTTTGCGATTTATCCTGAGAAAGGCTGCAAAGACACGGATTTCGCTTTCAAACTTGGATTCTCCCTGGGATTACCCCGATGACAGTGCAGTTTTAGTTCTAATTTTATTTAATAATAACATCGCGTTAGAGTCATCCCTATCTGGGAGGATTTAGGGAAGGACACGAGCGATTAGAGAAGATGCTCGGGTGTATTTTGAGTCTCTTGGCAAATAAAAACCTGCTCCGTTTGCTGTTTTCCCGGAAAAAAAAAAATCAAAATCGCCGGGAAACAGAAGGAGCCGCCGCGATCGCGGGATCGCCCCAATAACGACAAATTTGAGGATTTCCAGCCCTAAAATTTCCACGCACACCAGTGCATAAATAAAAACTTAATTTTCGGGGACTGAAAACGGAGCCGAGCTGGGCAGAGCCTGACCCGGTGGGTACCAAGTGGTTTTCTGCAGAGCAGGAAACCCGCGCACGAACCGAAAAATAACCCAAAATAAGCTCGGTTTGATTTTTCCCCGCGCACTCTTTGAGCGCAGCTTCTTCTCCTTCCCCGCGCAGAGGGGAGACTCAAGGACAGACTGCAAGGATGAGGATTTTAAAGACACACACACAAAAAAAAAAAAAAGAAAGAAAAAAGAAAAGGAAAATAAGAACTAAAATACAAGTTAAAAAAAAATACAAATTAAAATAGAAATTAAAGCTTCCTTAGCAGAAAATAAAAAAAACAGCAAGGGATTTTCCATCGGCGGCAGCACCGGGCGCCCGGGCCCGCTGCAACCGAGAGGAGGATTTCGGCCGGGGCATCACGTCTGGCTCCAATAACTGCTAAAAAAAACCCTAAAACCACTTAATTTGGGTGCCCTTTGCAGCCTGATGAGGGGGAGCCTCGGCGGGGCCGCCCCACGGCCGGTTATTTACGGTGGGGGGGTTGGCGAGTGATGGAGCGGGTCGAACCTGATTGGGGTGGGGGGAGAAATTTAAGAAATGCCACGCGAGGAGAAGTTTGCGAGGCGGGGGAGGGATCGTGTCCTCTCCGCTCCGCACCCGGCTGCGCTCTGCCGCGCACGGAGGAGGCGTGGAACCTCCGCACCGGCTCTGTTTCCACGCGGGTTTAATTCACTCCCAGCCCCATCTACTGCGATTTGCTTATTCCATAACGGGGTGCGCATCCAGGGAACACTCGGCTCTGCGTATCCCACTCCCTCCCCTCCCAAAATCTTACTCCGGGATGGGGGTGACAGGGCCCTCCACTTCCCGGGTCACCCGTGTGCGTGTCCCCACGCGACGCCGCCCACGCTCCGCGCTGCGACCCGGCCCGGCCCCTCTCGGCCCCCTCGGCCTCTCCCGCAGGGAAACCACTTGCAGGAGCGAGGATTTGGGGTGCCTCTCCTCTCCCTCCCGCGGGCGCAAGGGTCGCTCCACGCCCACGCCCCGCGAGCATCCCCTCCAGCAAAGCGCAAAGCCCCGTGGCCCGGCGTGGAGGGCAACAACGAGCCCACGGGCGCGCGTGGATGGGGGACGAGGACTGGGAATGGTCGTGTCCTGCCAGGCCTCTCCCATTCCCTGTCCAAGGGTGGAGAGGGGGATTGCAGCGGAGCATCCGGTCCCCAAAACTGGGTCCTCGAGCCGGGAGAAGGTGGAAGAAGTGAAACCCTCCCTCACCCGGAGTGGGTCTGGGTCATCCGCGGACCGAGAGAAAATCGCGGCGGTTCGGGAGACCGCGCTCGGCCATCCCCAAACTTTCTTAGCTCAGATGCCGGGGTGCCGCGGGGGGGAGAGGGAGAGGGGAGAGGAAGAGGGAGGGAAGCTCCCCCTGCCCCCGGGGCTTTGGAAGAAACTCCCACCCCGCAGCCGGCCTTGGGTGTACCCGCGCCCCCAAGCCCCAAGCAGGAGCTGGACCCGCTCCCGGGGTATCCTCCACCCGGCCCCGCAGCTCTGCCGCCCCCAGCCCATAATAAAGACGCTTTGAGAGTCCTCCCTCCCCCCCGTCCGCCCCCCGCCCCCCCGTGCCCCCCTTATTTTTTTTTTTATTATGGTTTTCTTACCGAGTCCAATAAATCGCGCGGCTCGTCTGGCCTCAGACGTGTTCAGCAACCCAAGCCCCGCCGCTTTTGTTCCGCCAAGTCTCACATTGTTTGTCCGGCTGCGGGGCCGGCCCCGCGCGGCGCGGGAGGCTGCGGGGGGCTGCGGGGGCTTCACGGGGGCTCCGCGCCCCGGCCCGGCCGCGAGCACGGGGCGGGGGTGGGTGGGCGACGGTCGGTCGGCAGAGTCCGGCCCGGCCGCTCCTCTTTCTTTCTCCCGGGTTCCCCCTACTTCTTCACCCGGCTCGGGGCGTCTGTCGGCGGGGGATGCTCCCGTATGGGCAATGGGTCCTTTCTGCGCTGCCCTCTCTGCCCTGCTCTTCAGCCTGCACTGCTTGTCCTCCCTGCGTTACCCTGTCTGCACCTGCCCCCCTGCCTGCACTGCCCTCCTTGCCTTCCCTCCTTGCCTGCCTACCTGCCCCCCCGCCTGCACTGCCCTCCTCGCCTACCTGTCTGCATTGCTCCGTCTGCCCACCTGCCCTCCCTTCCTGCTCTCCCTGCCTGCCTATCCTGCCTTCCCTCCCCTGCTCTCTTTGCCTGCCCGTTCTGCCCTGTCCTCACCTGTCCTGCCCTCACCTGCCCGCCCCCGGCCCGACTCGCCCCCGGGCCCCGCGGCCCGCGGGTCTTCATGGTGGCCCCGAGCCCGGAGCCGCCGCCGGAGGAGCGGGGGCCGTGCCCGGCGTAAGGATATATAGGAGCGGCCGAGGAGCCTCCACGTAGCCGATACGTAAAGTGTACGTGTGAGAGTCAAAAAAAGTTGGGATGCAAATGCGGGGCCAGCTCCATCGCGCGGGGGGGTTCGGGGGGGGGCTGGGGGGAAGGGGGGAGCCGCACTATTTCCAAGCTTCCTTAACCTCTGGATTGCTCGAAATCGATCAGCAAAGTGCAGCAAGCCTGGCAATTAGGAGCTCATTACCATATATGCAAATATGGCAACCTCTCTCCTCCGCAGCCACGGAGGCGCGGGGGGCGAGAGAACCGCAGCAGGGTTTGGGTGGGGATTGGGGTGATGCTTGCGGGGGAACGGGGACAAGGAGGGGAAAAGGTTATTTGGGGGTATTTGGCGGGTTTTAAAAGGAAACGGCGAGGCCGCGGGGGCACAAAGAGCTCGGGAGTGGTGGGGGGGCGCAGACACGCACGCCCGGGGCCCGCGTGGCTGCTCCGAATTCGCTCCTTAAATCAAATAAAATTTTTCTCCCTTTGAAACAAACTCCGAGCGAGCAGCACGGCCTGGCCGGGGTGCGGGGGGGTCCCTCCGCCGGCCGAGGAGCCCCCAAAAACCGCGCGGTGCCCGCAGCATATATCGGGAATAACCTGGTACTTCGGGGACACGCGGGGGGCCGGGGCAGGGGCCGGACGGCTCCAGCCCCGGTCCGAAGGAGTGTTTTAAAGGTAATTCCTGCCTTCTTGCATTTTATTAATAAAAAAAACCCACCATCAAACGGCGATGCCCGGCGCACGCACTCGATAGCGGGTTTCCTTGTTACCTGCGATTTTATAAGCATCGTTGGGTTTTTTGCTTAATAAGCACAGATTAGGGGCAAAGTCTCCCTGGCATTTCCTGAATGCTGATTAAAGCTGGGGGATCATGGCAGGAGCAGCGCAGGGAGCGGGTTTTTTCCGCGGTGTGGCTCGGGGTGGGGGCATCGCAGCGTCTCCCTCAGTGGTGCCTTATGAAGTTCCGCCCGGCTTCCCCCCTCGATTGGGGAATTGACTTTGTTTTCCTCCTTCCACAAACCCTAATCACGGCGTATTAAAGAAGAATAATGCCCGTTTCAAGCTGGGCTCCAATATTCTACCCTGCTCTGGATTATTTTAAATTTTTCCCGCAAATAAATAACATTTTCTCTCTTTCAGCCGCCGCCCAAACCCCCAAATAACGAGAGAGAACTGAAATCAGGAAACGATTCCTTATGCTAAGCGTGTTTTGCGGCTTGGTTTAAATATTAAAAATATAGAAAAATTAGTCAAAGTGAACAAAACATCCCCAAGGGCTCTGGGGGGCATGGGGGTGGCAGCAGCCCAGCCCCGGAGACACCTCAGCATCCCCGCAAGCCTGGCCGGCTCCGTGTGCCCGAGCCCGGGTTGTTCCTGCTTGCAAGCGCAACAGCCGTGGGGACAGAGTTAATTGCGTGGATCTTTTTCCTTCTTTCTTTCCAGTTTTTTGAATTTATTTTTATTTTATTTTATTTGGGGAAAGCTCTTTTCAGCAGTTGCATTCGCACCTCGGCAGCTAAGCCGCTTTTCCCAGCCCCGTCTGGGTCGCTGCTCTCTCCGTTCCTCTACCCTATCCCCCTTTAATTCCCGAGTCACCAGGATTTATTTTTATAATAATAAATTTTTTCCCATTTTTTTTTTATTCCGAATGGCCGGAACCGGGACCAGCCGCGGCCCCGGGCAGAGGGACCGTCTGTCCCCCCGAGCATCTCCGTCCGTCCCATTCTATAGTTTGATTTGGTTATTATTTATATTTGAGGAATTCAGCCGCCTGTTCCTGCAAACCTCCCGTGAGTTTCGAAATGCAGAGAACACTGTTTAGAAAGGAAATGAAAAGAATTAAAATTCCTTTTCGGTTTCCTCTCTCTTGGCAAATTCACAGCTACCGACGACCAACGAGATGAAGCGTTTTCCCCGCAGAAATCCTCACTCCAGCTCCGAGACCCTCTGGCATCACTTCCCCACCCGCCAGCGAGGACGGCGGCTTCGCCCACCAGCTTAGGCAAAAAAAAAAAAAAAAAAAAAAAAGTGGATTATTATTTTTCCCCTCCTTATCCCGAAGCAACAATTAAAGAAAGTGAGGACCTTTGTCTTCTGCTGGGACAGACTTCGATTTTTTGGGCGCCGCTTTATTTTGTCTGATATTGAACTTTAAAGAGGAGGGGTTGGAGCAAAGAGAGAGAGGAATTTTTTTCGGAATTCCCTCGGCATTGCTGGCTCCTCCAGTGGAAGGCACGCAGCCTTTCCCTCCAGCCCGTTTTGTGCCCGTCTCATCTCACATTTATTTTTCCAGCGCCAGGCGCTGCCACAGGCCAGGGAAAGGGGCGTTAGTGCCGCAAAACGGGCGCTTTAAACTTATTTTTAAAGCGAGTTTCTGCTGGAAGGCAAATCCCGGGCTGCGGCGGCGGGGGCGGTCAGTCTCGGATAATCCAGGAGGACTTTCACCTCGGAAAACCGAGATTTTCGGCGGTGGGTGTCCCGGGGGAGGCAGGCGGGCAGGGACCCGCGGAACCCCCGCCGCCGCTCCCGGTCCCGCGGTGCTTGCGCTCCGCGGGGGCCGCGGAGAAGCCGCCCCCAACAACCCCCCTGCCCCCGCAGGGAGCCGCCCAGCCCTCGCACCCGTTAAAAAACGCAAAAACCCCTCCATAAAACCCAAAGCAAACTCGCAATTCCGCCCGGAAGGGTCTGGTTTGCAGCGCGCAAGGCGGGGAGTGTCCCCCACCTGGTGCAGCCCCCCCTCGGGTTTTATTTCGACGAGTCTTTGCAAGGTACCACAGCGCTGTGGGTGCAGCTCTGTCCTCCCAGCCCCTTCCCCACCTCCTGCCAAGGTGAGACCCGGGTAGAGGTCGCACACATCGGAGGGGGGGAGACGTGATTCGGCAGCAGCACCCCCAAAACTGCTCAGAAACCCCCGGGGTGTGCATAAACCCTGCGTGTGCTGCCCTATCCGAGTGTACCTGCCTCGTGTGTGCCCTGTGCATGAAGGGTGTGTGTACCACACGTGTGGCACACCGAGGCCCCGTGTAGGGTGGGGGCACAGTGGGATTTCCACCCAGCTGCACGGGGCACACTCCAGCTCCATGCACCCAAGCAGCTCCGGGGTCCCTCCTTGCAGGGCACCTGCAGGGAGATGCTCCCTCTGCCCCTGTGAGTGTGGAGGGGCAAAATAGCCACTGCAAAAAAACGCCCTGCCTGCAGCTCTTCCCTGCCTGGGAAAAGCAGTGGGTGCTCCCTGTGCTCACTGGTGGGTGCTGGACACCAGTGAGGGCCTCTGAGGCTGTGCAAGGTGCAGGGAGCCTGCAGGGCCCCAGCATGGAGCTTCCCTGCTGGGATTTTTAAGGGAAATTCCCTCCTTTTTTCCCTGCCAGCTCAGAGAGGCTCCACGCGGGAGGTGTTTCAGCTCTGGAAGAAATGTCACATGCGGATCAAAGATGATTTTTGGCTTTTTAAGTATTTGCTCTGATATATCCACAAATACGTGTGACTTTAGACAAGCCAGGTGTATTTTCTGTAAACCACATCTACACAACCACCACTGCCTCTGAAACTGCGTGTGACTGCTACCATGGGATGTTCAGATACAGGTTTTCATTTGAGATTCTCCCAGCAGTCCCAGTCACCTCAAAATTTGGTGTACAGATGCCTGGGCAGGTTAGTGGCTCGTGAATTTGGATGAGGAAGAGGGGTCTGGAGCTGGGTGATTTCTGAATAAACGTCTTTGTCTCAGTGCAACCCCCCCCAAGCTCGTGGACGGCCCTTCCCTGCATTCGCTGGGCACTTTCACCGTGCGGTGCCACCAGACAAAGAAAATGGCAACAAAAGCCGCGTTTTGAAGCAAGCGGGTGCACACTGGAGGAACAGCATCAGAGAAGCTCCAGGGCCGTCCCCAGGCCTGCAGGGCTGTGCCAGCGGTGGAGAGGCAGCCACTGCCTGCCCACAGCCTCCACCCTGGGCACCTGCTCCCTTTGCTCCAGCCTTGGCTGCACCCTGTAGTGAGACAATCCCTTCTCCCCCGAGTCCGCTCAGGGCTGCAAAGCCTCCTGCCTTCCTCCTGCCTCTCTCCCCAGCAAGTGTTTTCCTACCTCAGGTAGAGATTTTAACAGCTCAGGAGATTTTAATAGTTCACCCCAAAGGCCAAACAGTGGCTCGATGCCTTCAAAGGCACCCACATAACCTGGTAGCTTCAGAGGGGAAGGGGGCTGGAGTCTGAAAACAAGCAAGTTCATTTATATCAGACCATCTCAGCCTGAGATGTGATGTTATCCTCAGCTTCAGCTCATCCCCAAACCAACAGCAAAAAAAAAAAAAAAAAGCAAATCCAAAGACTAAACCTAAACCAAATACCAAAATTTCCCTCTTGTGAGAAGAGGGGAGCTCTGTTTTGTGTCGGT